TACACAGTGGAGTCAGGGTGGTGAGGTACGCAGTGGAGTCAGGGTGGTGAGGTACACAGTGGAGTCAGTGCGGTGAGTTTCACAGTGAAGTCCGCGCGGTACCTTGCAGCATGCTCTTGTAAGCAGCCTCAGAGATGGCGTAGATGTGCGGGGGCATCTCGTGGCGCTTCTTGCCGCGATACATCTCCACGATGGACTCGGTGTAGATCGGCAGGTTCTTGTAGGGGTTGATGACCACGCAGAACAGCCCGGAGTAGGTCTGAGGGGAGAGTGAGGTGAGTGCTGTACCGCGGCCTCTCGCTGCCTCACCAGCCCCACCCCTCCCGCCGCCGCGGCCCCACACTCACGTAGATGAGCCCGGAGTAGTATCTCTCCTTCAGGTTGTGCAGGACCGAGGCCTCGTTCAGGCAGGTGAGGTCGGCCATGTCCTCCGCCTTGCTGAAGCGTGGCGGGTTCATCCTCTGGACCTCGTCCCGCGACACGCTGACCCGGCGGCCCGACTCCACCAGCTCCACCTCCAGCTCATCCCCGCGCTCCTCCCGCACGCCGGCCGCCTGCCGGGGGAGAGCTCGTCACGCCGGGAGGGGCGGGCCTGGGCCTCCACCCCACCCCTCCCCTCCCCTCCCCCTGCCAGCTCTTACCCCCGGCTCCTGGTGCGGGACTGGAGCAAGACTCCCAGCCGTGCTGTCGGAGCTCCTTCAGCGGGACAGATGGGCTCAGCACAGCGGCTCTGAACCTTATAGCATCTGGGCCAGACGGACACCACGAATCGAGCACAGATCAGACCCCCACCAATCAACACAGATAATCGAGCACAGATCAGACACCACTGATTGTCACACAGATAATCAAGCACAGATCAGACCCCTGATCGTCACACAGATAATCAAACACAGATGGGACCCCACCATTCATCACAAATAATCGAGCACAGATCAGACCCCACTGATCATCACAGTTAATCGAGCACACAGATCAGACCCCACCGATCATCACAGATAATCGAGCACAGATCAGACCCCACCGATCATCACAGATAATCGAGCACAGATCAGACCCCACTGATCGTCACACAGATAATCTAGCACAGATCAGACCC